CTATATCTTGTTTCTCAGATTTGCAAGGAATATTTTCAGATACCGTACTTCTACTTAATTTGGTGGCCATTTTAATTTGATGGATCCGCCAAATTGTTAAAATCTGCCAAATAAGTAGCCGCCAAATTCAATATTCCGCCAAATTAAGTAGTTGCAAAATGTTCAAAAAAGCAAACCCGCCAAAATAAGTACAGTAGCATCAAATTCAGTAAAAGTATACAGTAGGATATTTACACTGTCATCATTAATGTCATATGTGGTGTTTACTGTTATATTACATTTACCAATGCCTATTTTACTCTTTTCCTCTGTATTTACACAGTTTGGAGAATTGACTTCATGCCTGTTCACTTTATTCCTTGCTGATTCCACTCTTTTGTATTTTTACAATTTAAAACATGGTCTATAGATAACAATTGAAAATAGTGGGAGTTCATTGAATCATGTGCAAAATATATCAGTACAAAAAGTACATAACCTCAATTGTATAAAAATACAAGACACTTGACAGGCCCATTCTGAGCACATTTTAAGTGATTTGGGCCATCTTTGGACCAAAAGTAAACCTCGTCTGGGATTTTTAAAAAGTGACCCCCCCCTTGGTGTAAGCTGGCTATGGGCTACCCTGCGTGCAGAGTCTAGTTAAACTACTCTCTGCCTAGTAGAGACCATATTACAGTTTAGTAGCCCCGCCCCCACGACGGGTACCGGTGACAGTTTGAGTAATAAATCACTTCTGACCTACGCGCTGACCTTTCTTCCACCATTCAGCGAGCTTGAAGAAACACACGCCAAATGCGTTCTAATTAAATATGCTCATGTCATTGGTCAATTCCGGGCTCAACGATGACATCAGAAGGAATGACCATATATAGAACGTCGGTCAAATTTGGCCGACGAACACTGATTGGCGCGGTGAGTTCACAGGTTTATTTTAGTTTAAAAGAGTGAAGACGAAGCTCTCTTTTAAGAAGTGAAGTCAAACGAATGCAAAGGGTAGCTATGGGCCTGCTCGTACACTGTTATTGGGTATTAGATGAACATGTAGAAAATGACAGAATAGATGTAACATGACCTCACTTGATGGTCTATAATCAAGAATGTATACACAGCAAGGAAACATGATACGAGCTTTGTTGTTGATAAGTGTTTAGAGGTCGAAATAACTTCTTCATAATAGGCAGTTTTAAAAACATATTATATTCACAGAGAAAATATGATATGCGCAAATAAGAGGATAACCTTGGATGATAAACAAAGAAATTAATACAAAAAGATGGATATTTAGTTACATTTGGAAAAAACATATGATCTATGTTTGGTAGTATATGATTATGTCTGTATCTGAGTAACAGTCCTTATATTATGTGATGCTTGATTATATTTGAAATGGAGATGTACCGTCAATGAGAAAGGGGTGCATTATGGCACTTAGTTCTTAGACAGCAGTTTTTCAGCAAGATTTTAAGCTATAACTTAGCATCAAAAAATAATCTCTGTTTTTATGTCATTACCGCATGGGTGACACAGTGTTATGGTCTCCGAATTTTTGTGATGGTATTCATCGGTCAGCATTTGGTGTTCGGAGTTCAGCATTTGGTATTCAGTTTCTGTAACATGACATTTTGCATGTTAATGCCAAGTGCATATTTTTTTACTTAGTTTATTCTCTAAGTTCTGAATGAAATATACAATTTGCTAGTATTTTCAGTTAAAACTATTTTACTTTACTCCTGTTTATTATATTCCTTGTTTATTTCTCGTAATGTTAGATTTAACACATGAGTGACATGATTGACATGAGAAATCTTTTCAAGTAGACTTGCTACGTACTTATAAGCAGGAAAGGCAGAACCGATTTAGGAAGTTATAGAAGAGTCCAACATATGTCTTGTAGTTCCATAATTACCTCTGGCCTCTTGTAAATTGTACAACATAAGGTTATAAAATGTTTCAACAGATAATGTGGTTAAGAATGAAAGGGAGGAAATGAGTGCCATGTATAGGTAAAGAGACAGGGGAGATAAGGTAAATGACAGGGGGGTAGCTTTGAGCTTAGAGGCTTGCCCTAATGGAGACAGAAAAACAGTAACAAAATTAATTTTCTAATCACTGTTCCACAACACGACTGTATATTGTCTAATGTTGAGCCAAATGATAATCAGCATCATGACTGATACGTAAGTTTAAATCTAGAAAAAAAACTCGTATCTAGGAAGTTCATCCATTTTGTTTCATTGACATTTCGTCAAAGTAATTATTTGTGGAACAGTGCTGATGGTTTAACTTCCCCCCCCCCCCTTCCCCTTCTCCCCATAGAACAAATTTTGAACACGTTATTTTGCCTTTCACTTGACCAAATCATCATTCCCCCCACCTTTAACTTCATTATTCCACAGTTAATGACTTTTACACACCTTTCCTTACAAGATCCTAATCGATTGTCTAATTGACAGATTGCATTCGTCTTGTCAAGTATAATTAGTAAAGGGAAGGATGCTTTTCTGAGGGTTTGATCAAAAATCAATGTAGATAAGTGACAGAATTATTTCTTTGTTTCATCATTAAGCAGCAATCATTTTCAGTTTCTTCAATTGTTTGAATGCTCTCCCAGGCTGTTTCCTTTTAATGCTCAAAATATCCGTCTGCTCATGCTTATTTTCTGATTTTTCTCTCTAAAATTTGAATGAAGTGTCTGATTTACTTGCATTTCTATACAATTTAGGGTGTTAACTACATGCCTGTTTACTTCATTTCATGCTTATTCCACTCTTTTCCACTCAATATTGTATTTCAAAACATAACACAAGTGATCATTAAAATTGAGAGGCTATATCTGATTTTCTATAATGGTAAGTTATCTATAATTTAGTAACCCAGAAACAACCCTTTAAGAGAAATTTCATAAATTGGTCACATTTTGAAGCACAAAACATAGACTAAAAAAGTGGAATTTGCAAGAAATAAAGTAACTCTACATTAATATAGGAATGGCAGGAAATTTTGTAGTTAACTCTTAGAGATATTAGCTTGGTAATCTTGACCATTTTTTATGGGTTCTTGCCATTGCTTCATACAGTAAAACCTTTATGTTTTGCAACTTAAACTGTAAGGCTTTATCATCAACAGGTTTTTGAAGTAAAAGTTATTGTTTTATTGTATATTTCTAAACAGGGAGTTTCCTTCATTGAGTGTTCATCGATTAGTTTAAGAACATTGATTATACAGGTTAGACCCAAATATCAATAATAATAGTATACTCTAGTCTTATACAGCCTTGCATAAAGTCTAATTTTCTGTTTCTTCTTTTTTTCATAAATAATATTTTTAGGTCTCTGCTTATCTCGCATACATCCAGACCCCTTGCCCATATCTGCGTTGAGCATCAATCATAAAGTTTTCTATCACTCCTTACTTTTTTCATGAATTTATATATGGCCATGGTTGATTGGCTTTCACTTAGCATCTCAAAAACAAAAAACACTATACATAAAAAATTCTACTGATAAGGGGACACCCCGTCTCTGACCCCCCCCCCCCCCCACACACACACTTAAATCCATTCTATTTCCTTGCACTATTTAGAATAATATATATAGCATTTGACTTGACATAAGATCATAACAGCACATCCTACATTCAATACCCTCTATTATCCCTTGAAGTACAGTATATAAAAGATGGCTCTGAAAATCAGAATGATACTTACACACGGGTGTTAAACCACGATTATACCATGAGCACATGCTTTGAGGATCCGCGTTGTTTGAACCTACCGCCGAGCTCACTTATACACTTATACGTTAAACAGTCATGATACCGCCGAGCAAGCTCATTGCATCATCGGGTCTGCTTTACCCCTGTGCTTACAGGTGTCACTGTAGTTGCTGTTTACAAATTGAGGTTTAACTGTAGACAAATAAGTAGTCCCCTTATTGATCTGTCATTGTTTGCCCTTATTACATTGTTAGTCTTAAACTCTAGATGTAACACCTGGATATTATGCTAGACATCTCTGGGATTATGATTTTTCATAAAGAAGTGAGGAATAAGCAAAGAATATTGTGAACTGGTAAACAACTGTTGAAGATAGCAAGGAAATCGTGCTCTGTAGATATGCTTCATTATTAATATAAGTTAATGTTATAAAAAGGATGAAATTATGAAAACTAATAAGCTGTCTTACTCTGAGAAATGATATATTCGACTGAATGGCGTAGCAGAGGTTTAGATGTAGAAATATGGAATTATATATAATTTATAATTCGGATGATACCTTGAACCTCTAATTAGTTTTACAGATGAATTATTAAACAGATCGTGAATTCTAAATTTTAGAAGCTTATTTGAAAACTGAATCAGAATCTGAATTTTTGTTTATCAAAAATGTTACATAAATGCATCTTTAAAAATAAATTGCCTTGATAAGAATAAATGCACCAAAGGAATAAATGGCAATTCTTAAAATATCTTCTTCGTACAATGTACTTGAAGAAGCTCTAAAATTGACAGATATATCCATGTACTATATATAACATACACACATGTGTACAGATACATCTCTTACATGTTTGTAAAATTCTATACTTAAAGTACTACATATTACAATGGACATTTTCTATTTATTGTAAGCATGTTTTCAATCTGATATTCTTTATGATAATTATGATACTGTAATGCTTCTGATTTTTCCCTTTATTTCATGCCAGTTCTTCCCTTTTACTCAAATTATCATTTTAAAATGTGAATTTTAGTGATATTGTATCTTCAGTACTGCCTACATGCAGTACAAGGGGTGGCCTTATCAGGATAAGAAAATTACATATTAACCATGACCTTTGAAAAAAGTTCATATTTTCTGCGTTTTATTGAATTCTACAAATTACATTTTTACGCACAATGAAATTGCTGACGGAAGTTTGAATAAATGCGAGAACAAATTCAAATTTTAGATTATCTGAGGTAGATGCTGGAATAATCTTGAAAAAGTTGTAAGATTTTTATCGGAATCTGCACTAACTTTAAGCATTTACTCGAGTTTTACACAACATAAGAGTAAACAATTATGATAAATGTTGTTAACCTATCAAGGTTGAAATTAAACGCAGTACAATTATTACAGTATATTTATTTATACTATTTGGGACCACGTATGATCCAAAATTTTGGAAGTGTTATAGTCAGATAGTTAATTCAGTTTAAAAGTCAATGGATATTTGATGTCATAATTTGATGTCACAATTTGATAATTACAGGTAGAAGTTCATTAAAGGTATTCAATTTAAGATTAATTGAAAATTCAAATATTTTCATGTTCATTCATAGGTTTTGAAACTGTCAACAATAGGTCAATGTTGATGATTTCAATATCAGAGATTTTTGGCAAGTATTCCGTAGCATGTAAACGTAAGATACAACAAGCATTTTTCTTCGATTTTTTATGTCTATTCAAATACTGCTATAATTTTTATTTATTTTGTATTTTTTGGAAGAGAAAAGGTATATAGATCAAGGTTACATTTGTTTGTCAACAAGCTAGAATTCATGTGACATTGTATCCAACTTCATAGATTCAACACAAATAGATTTCTTACTTGGAAAGTACTAGATTACATTTTCATTTGATTTCCAATTAGAAACACATAGCATACTCATTCATCTTGATTAATATCGATTAACGAATAAGGATAAATTACATAAAATAAGATAAAAAATATCGTTCAATTTACATTTTTTCTTTTATTGATTGAGCTGAGGGGAAACAGGTAGATTGACGGATAAGATTTTCTGCTTATAGAATTATATCAAATTAATGCCTCATGAAATTAGAAATCTATATCTGACATTTATTTTTTTATTTGATGGTCAATGTTATGATATTTCTCTTATATTTATTGTTTTGAAATAACCTTTAATTCTAATGTTTTATCTCAAATGGAATGTTTGCATGTTCATTTGAAGGATGTCGTTGAAAATGTGTCATTTGTTTTTGACAGTTTGATCAAATGCAACGATGACATAGAACTGAATATTTTCATACAATTTATGAATGAATCGAAAATATTGGAACTTTTCTAAAAAATATTTTAGGCGCAGATAGAGATTTTTAATGAAATGACAGCGTGATGTAAGATATTATGACATCACAACTCACATGACCTGGATATCCAATCAGAGTATAGACATATAAAATTAGCATTTATCAACAGAGAACTTAAAAACACTTCAATATAGAATTTTACTAAAACTGTAAAATGAATAGCCTGAGTGTCAGAATGTATGAGAAAAGGGATCATTAAAAACCGTTACCTTTAAAAGACACAAAACATTCCAGCCTGGATTATATAGAAGAAAATTAACTGCAAGATATTAATATTATTATACCACAGTGCAGAAATGTATGTTGAGACAATAACAGAAAATGAATTTGAAGATGACGTTATGTCCGAAGATGAAGAACATGAACGTATGCTTCGGTGGCAAAATCGGAACAATAATGCAACTAAAATCGTTAATTCGTTGAACAATAATAACTACCAGGGAATATCGATGATGTCACCGCCTAATCGGTTTTATGGACCTAGCTCACCACGGCCGTCAGAAAATGCCCGATGTTTTAGGCGTATGTCAACGCAGGTGGAAGCTATGGTGTAAGTGATTTTTGGTAATTTTCGTTTTGTTATTCTTGATCAAGGAAAATTTGTGTTAAGGTGGGACATGTCAGATCATTTTAGACCTGTTTGTATGTTAAATAGCTTGGATAGTCATTCTGTTCGACTTTCCTTAAAGTCTCAATATGTTTTGATAATGGGTACCAAAACAGGTACCCCGATTTTTAGTCCTTTTATAGCTCAGAGAATTATAAGACCCTAGAGCAAATACGGCACACCCCCCTCTTGATTTGGATTGGTCACTCGATTAATTTTCTTTTACAAGAAATAGGAAATACTTAATACTTGTTGAGTTATTCATGCATGAATCAGTCAGTTCAATGTTAATTCGAGAAACATCCCATACATTTATACTGTAAAACCTGTTTAGGGAAAACCTCTCTCTAGAGAACACATGTGTTTAGTGAACACCATTTCAAGACGCATTTTACATTGACTCCTGTGAAATCCTCTCTCTGTAACAAACACTTATCTTCAGTGAACACTTTTTTGTGGCTCCAGAGGTGTAACACACTACCATACCTTGCATTAGGTGTTCATGAGCAACCCATTTGGCTTATTAGTAATGATTATGTATTTGTTTTTATTTGTCTGTTCCTTATGAATGGTTTATCGGTTGAAAATTAGATGCTAGTAAGGCACTTTCAAAAATATATTAAACAATTCAATTAGACAAACAAAGTATCTTATGCATTTCTAGGTGTTAGGTATAGTAGTGTGGTAAGGTGTTCACTATATACAGGTTTCACTATATGTTTATAATGCCAGAAGAATTTTTTAGAGGTTATCTCATAATCCTATCATAACTAAATTGTCAAATATCAGGAACACTTGAACCCAGCCATAGTTTATATACATAGATATTCACATCAAATGATATAATTTAAAAAATATGACATTTCCAATGAGGTACTCTAGCATTGACGAATGTGTAATATTTCTGGCTTTGAAGTCCATGTTGTTTGTGCTTAGTTCAAGTACAGTACAAGGCTGTCATGATTTGGGGGGGGGGGGGTGATTCACAGTTGACCCAAAATTACTTAAAAAGTGCTCAGTAAAAAACTGCATGATTCTGAAAGAATTTGTTTTCACATCTGCAGTTTTTAGAATGTGAATAAGAATTTAAAGAATTTGTTTTCACATCTGCAGTTTTTAGAATGTGAAATAAAAGTTTAGTAAGTTATATAGATGGCAGGTCAGACCATTTTATCATGATGTTAATGTCTTTGTTAAATCATTCATATTTAAGAATAATTTTGATATAAATTTAATTGGTATTTAGATAGCATGGATCAGAATATCTTTGCTGTTGGATACAAAAACATTTCAATAGTTTTATAATATGTCAAGCAACCTTGAATAAGATTGTGTTGTAAAACATTAAAATAGCAAAGTTTATCTCAAAGGTCAGAGGAACCTCTGTGTTAGATTCATTAATGTGTCTTTTGTTTTCATTATTTATTTGATTTGGTACTCTAAAATTGTTAGGTTTTTCTATTTCTGTCTCGTTAATATTGATGAATTAAGCTTATTTTAGATTAGAGTATGCTGTTCATGTCTCAAGCTACAAATATTTCATGCTAATTTTTGCACTTAAAAAAACGCTTTCTTTATGAATTGTTTTCATATTATGTTGTGGAATCAGTATATTAGGTACATTTCATGAGTAGATCAAACTACTTTTGCTTAAGTGAACTAAGAAGCTTGTTAAAGAAATAATTGGTGAACCCTGGAATTAATGCCCTGGATGCTTGAGGGTATTGTCTATAAATTAGAAAATTATCATGTTTTAAAATGCAAAATAGAGTGGAAAGGAGTGGAATAAGCAAGTAATAAAGTAAATAGACATGTAGTTAACACTCTAAATTGTATAGAAATGGAAGAAAATCAGACACTTCATTCAAATTTAAGAGAGAAATTCATGATTTTAAGAAATATGGCAAGGTCAAACAGGATTCAGAAAAGACATTGCAGACAAGGCAAGGTCATGGTGACATTGCAACATGTGTGTAAATAGTAAATGTCTGCAACTTGAGTAAAATATATGTCGTTCATGCTTGTTTCATTCAATTTCTCCCTAAATTTTGAAAGAAGTATCTCATTTTTTCCATTTCTATACAATTTAGAGTCTAAGCTACATGCCTGTTTACTTTGTTCCTTGTTTATTCCACTCTTCTATACTCTATTTTGTGTTTTAAAAGATGACCCCCATGTTGTTTCTTTACAGGGAGATAACAATAGTATCTCAAGTGATTTGTTTGTTTGTTCATCTGTTCATTTATATAAGTATCACATTTTAAGACTTGTGAAATTGGAATAACAACAATATGTATATTTTTACTTATATGTTTACTTTGAAGATATAAAATCTTCACACAATCTATTTTAGTTTTAAGTTGATGCTTAAAGTGCATTAAGGCATCCTGTTTTATTGATCTAAATCATATTTTTAGCCCCTGGATAGAAATAATCTTGCATCATTATACTTGTATAATCAATTTCTTGCAACTGTTAAGTTGCTACATCAACCATATTCCATTGTCTCCTTAAGGATCAACCATATCCCATTGTCTCCTTAAGGATCAACCATATCCCATTGCCTCCTTAAGGATCAACCATATCCCATTGCCTCCTTAAGGATCAACCATATCCCATTGCCTCCTTAAGGATCAACCATATCCCATTGCCTCCTTAAGGATCAACCATATCCCATTGCCTCCTTAAGGATCAACCATATCCCATTGTCTCCTTAAGGATCAACCATATCCCATTGTCTCCTTAAGGATCAACCATATCCCATTGTCTCCTTAAGGATCAACCATATCCCATTGTCTCCTTAAGGATCAACCATATCCCATTGTCTCCTTAAGGATCAACCATATCCCATTGTCTCCTTAAGGATCAACCATATCCCATTGTCTCCTTAAGGATCAACCATATCCCATTGTCTCCTTAAGGATCAACCATATCCCATTGTCTCCTTAAGGATCAACCATATCCCATTGTCTCCTTAAGGATCAACCATATCCCATTGTCTCCTTAAGGAGAAACCTATCAGCTGATTCCCTGCCATTTATCTATTCGCCTATATCTCCGTAGATTTTTGTTGTCATAAATGATGACTTAATTGGCCATTAAGAATCTAAGAATATTTTTATTTTAGTCATTTCAGTTGCATCCAGTAAAAGAAAATATGATTTCATAACATGGGGTCTATCGGAAATCAACCCGACCTAGAAGTCACATTTTCAAAGAAAGTTGAATTATCAAAGCAAGCTGATGAACAATTTTTGAAACCACATTGCTAGATGTAATTTTCCATGTAGATTTCAAATATGATATCACTTTGACTGAATTTTGAATATTCAATGACGTAAATTGAAATTATCTCTGCTTGCGATTGGCTGTTGTATACTAGAGTTCTTAATGTCAGAGTATCGACAAACTTAAATGTTGAACTGGGTGTGGTAATTGTTATCTTAAGAGTTAAGTAGTTAGGTCATCTACAAAGAGTACTTTGACATTGCGGTGATATATAGTTCAAAAACAACTTAAGTTTTAATAATGTTAATAATCTTAAATATGTTTAGAAAATATGCTACTCTGTTGTGTAAGTTTGCCTGCTGTAGGGATTTGCTTATATTTATATATATATTATATGTATGTGGTTTGATGAATATAAAATAAATAGTACGTCTGAAAAGAACAATCACATTGTCAACTTCAACCAGGGAAATCCCCTTTCTGGCTTTGAAGCAATATGAAAAGTTGTCAGGTGTAAATATTTCACAGATTGGTTTGGTTAAATTCAATACAGGTACATGAAATCTGACTTGACTTGTAGAAAATGCCATCGTGTTTACGCTAATTTGATCTTCTCTGCAATTTTAATAGAGTATGATCTTAATATTGAGAACATGCCTGTAGATTCTATTCCTCTCTGATTTCACTATTTTTCACTATATCTTGACTTCAGAACATGAACAACGCAAGCATTCTTGCATGTGTATTGCCCAAATTGTAAAAATGTTATTCAATTTACGAATGCATTATGAAGAGTTACAAATGCAAAATTAATTTGAAGAATTAAATATAGAAACCGGATTATTGACAAAAACAGTTCAAAACAGAGAATGATATGAAGACAAAGATAAGATAAATTGTAATATTTTGGAGAAATTTGAAAAACAAAAAGACGTCATGATCCAACTATTGCATTCTTAATGTTGATAAGAAGTTGAAATTTCTGATTTATCTCTATGACCTAAAACCATTGTTACTTAAGGAGGCATATTAAAAATCATGTCAAAATACCTTTAAGCGCACGATGGGGGAACATAACAGTGATACTATATAAATAAATTAAAACGAAACTGTACAAAGTTTGTTTACGACGCCATTACATGAACTGTGTGTTGATCCTCAAAAGTCAGTTTGAGAACACAATCTTAATATGAACTTGAAATAAAAACTTGACGGAGCTAGACAAATTGACTACACAGTTAACTATTCATTGAAATTGACTGAGAAAATCATAATTTTTGATATTGGGTGATAATATAGATAATCTGCATAGTTAATAAACGTAATATATATAAAGCTGATCTTGAGGATTGAACAAATAGAAGTGATTGGTTAGTATAGGACACTAATATGTTATATGGGACATTAGACAATGGGATAGTGTCCCTTGAGCAGAGGGCACACCATGAACATTTGAAGGGGGTGCATATGATGTTGACAACTTGCAGGTAGGTTGTTACATGGGTGGACCTAAATTTTGTAGATTTGGGCTATTAAATAAAGGGTAGTGCATTATTAAGAAAACGGGCCAAAATGGTTTTTCCATGTACAATACTGGAAAGGTAGTATTTTCTGCCCCCTCCCCCAACTTCAGATTAAACATGGCTATCATTTTTTTTATTATTTTTAAGAATCAAACTAAGGTTATGTCATAAAAATTTATTTGTAAATTCTTT